AGAGAGAGAGGTAGAGAGGGAGAGAGAGAGAGAGAGAGAGAGAGAGAGAGAGAGAGAGAGAGAGAGAGAGAGAGAGAGAGAGAGAGAGAGAGAGATGGAGAGAGAGATGGAGAGAGAGAGATGGAGAGAGAGAGATGGAGAGAGCGAGAGAGACTATACATCATGTGGTCATAATCCAGGTATGTGTAGCAGTTCCAAATGAGCAGGTGATGTTAGACAAACATACAATACACCTGGTACAGTGCAAAAAAAAGAAAGGAAAGCTACATACTGAATCATCTTCAATGATGGCTGCTGAGTCAAAGAAGTCTGGCCGGAGTTCTGCCCTCTCCCGTCTGTTTCGTGAAGGCGGCTAGAAGATGACAACGTTCAGATGTTTTAGAAACACCTCATATTTCATATCAATACCAGGAAGGCAGCCTATGAATGCTCAGTTTCCAATCACATGTCTCCTGACACTTCAGTATGGTAATGCAAAGACAACTATGGATGTATGAGGGACTACCCAATAAAGCAATAGATAAGTGCAGTAACCCATAACTGATGGATTTCACTTCTCATGGTTAGAACATTGGAAGATGATTGCCAATTGGTTATGAGTTTGATAAACCTGATTAATCAAATGGGTAGAGTGGTTAAAGAAACATAACTCATAGAGTACCAAAGAAACAAGTTTGGTGGTTAAATATTTGTCTGTTATAAGACGACCAGCCCTTCAACATGCACATTACTACATTACATACTGCAGCACAGGTAGCACATTTAGAAAGTTATCACTTTATTTCCCAAGTATGGTTTAAATTCCATCTCTGCATTGTTTATATAAAAATGAAAAAGTGAGCACATACCAGATCAATAACCATTGTGTCCTCAAACTCCTCATTCATGTCTTCCAGCTGCCCCCTTGATGACATCATTACATCCTCAAAAATAGGTTCTGCATCATCCTCCATCAGACCTCGTCTAGAAAAGTAGAGAGATTATTAGAGTCAATGGAAAATTCAGTGATCTGAATATGTAAACTTGTATCCTGTATACTTACACTCCATGCCTTACACCACTCCGCACTTTCATATAATTCATTGATGTTCTGTCTTTCCTATTTAAGTCCTCCAGTTTCTGCTGACCCAGCCAAGACATCTGCATCTGAGGACTGGAGAAGAAATAATTACGTTAACGGTCTATATAACGATCCGCTATGTGGTACAGACCAATACATTCAATTGGCTTGCCTACTTATAGTCTAACAACAGTAAACACAAATAACTAAATCATTTTTTCAGTTATACTTAAAGACCTCCTTTAGGAAATGACAGCAATGAAGATACATTCTGGTGTACTACAGAGCAGAGATAGTCGCTGTAAGATAAAACAGCGGACACATTGCACACAGAAGAAAACCACAGTTCCGTACTTGTGTAAGAAGTCTGGCTCTGAACCATGTTCGGACTCCTGCTCTGGCATCTGCTCTTGCATTTGCCTTGGTGGGTTTTCCCTCAGCACTGTGGATGTTAGTTGTGGGGTGGTAAGTGCTCCTGGAGTTTGGATGGTGTCATTCCTGGTTACCCAAGAGTTGTCAATAGTGCTCTCATAATCTACAACCAAAAAAAACTATTACACAAATACTGTGAATTCATTTTAATGGTGCAGTACAATGATATACTGCTCCAGCAACCATGTCAAGTCAAGCCGAGTTTGGCATAGTATGACCAATGAAAAATGAATTCTGATTGGTTGCTGCATATTATTGGTATTGGCAATCTTGCCAAGAAAGTCTACATAGCAAGAATGTGTTACGCTTTAGCACCCCTATCCTAGATCCCAAAATACAATCCTGATAATAGTCCCGCGATTTCATAATTTAAGTGCTCACCTTCCACTCTCTTTTTGTGCAGGGGAGGCCGGCCCTTCTTACTTCTTACAGAGGAGCCTTTGCTGTTACTACCTCCACTATTCACAGACAGCCGGTCTTCATCGCCACCCGTCACCAGCGAGTTCCTATAGGAAATTAGTGGCAGCCAAACATCTTCCCTTCTCTCCATCATTTGTTCGCCCAGGAATTTCTCCAAATACGAGTGCCTAAGTAAAGGAAGAGTACTAGGGATTACCAGTTGGTACACAGGCTGATTGCTGAGAAGAATGTTGGTGGAGGCACAGAGCACCGAGGGAATGCAAGGAAATGGGACAGCTATAGGAATCTATTTCTTAAAAGGTCACAAAATAGGATTTTTACACTTATTGTAAAATTATTTTCTTGGAGCTCACTGAGGGACACCAGAGGTCTTAAACCTTCAGGTTCTGCTGTTACCTACTTGAGGATTGGACACTGGCAAAAAACCTGTAGGTAAGCTGAGAGTACAACTCCTCCTTCTACAGGATGCATTAGTTTTATTTTAGCAAAGCAGTACCAAGAACATGACTATGAACAGAGAGGGGCATGGGCAGCAAGAAAAGGATTTTACTGGCGAGTATAAAAATTCTATTTTCTGCACAGCCATTTGCCCAAATCTTTTCTGCCAGAGTGGTAGAAACACGGTCATCCGAATGTTGCAACAGAAAATCGAGACTCATCAGACCAGATTTTTTCCAATATTCTATTTTATAATTTTGGTGAACCTGTGCAAACTGTAGCCTCAGTTTCCTGTTCTTAGCTGACAGAAGTGGCACTCGGTGTGGTCTTCTGCTGCTGTAGCCCTTCTGCTTCAAGGTTCAATGTGTTGTGTGTTCAGAGATGGTATTCTGCATACCTCAGATGTAATGAGTGGTTATTTGAGTTACTGTTGCTTTTCTATCAGCCTCAACCAGTCTCCTCTGACCTCTGGGATCAACAAGGTATTCTTGCCTAGAGAGCTGCTCACTGGATATTTTCTGTTTTTCGGACAATTCTCTGTAAACCCGACAGATGGTTGCGCGTGAAAATCCCAGTAGATCAGCAGTTGCTGAAATACTCAAACCAGCCCCTCTGGCACCAACAACCATGCCATGTTTAAAGTCACTTAAATCACCTTTCTTCCCCATTCTAATGCTCGGTTTGAACTTCCATGTGATTGACTGATTAGATATTTGTGTTAATGAGCAGTTGAAGAGGTGTACCCAGGGGCGTATCCACCGCAAGGCAAACAAGGCGTTTGCCTTGGGCGGCATTTTCATTGGGAGCGGCAAAAATGCCGCCCTGAAACCAGTGAGGTGACCCGTTTCCCCTCTCCTATAATCCGAGGGGACATCCAGCCTGGATAATGCACGCGGGGGTGTACAGCAGCAGCAGCCGAAGGAATGACTGACCGCTGCTGCTTTCACTTTCTCCCGCATTCGAGCCGAGCAGAAGAATACTCACTGGCACTGCTGACAGGCTGGGGGCGGGGACATTCTTCTGCTCCTCAGGCATTCAAGAGCAAAGCCGTGGAAATGGACGGCCAGAGAATGAAACAAAGACCCACAGGGACCTGAACACTGGTGGACCAGCGGCAGCCCAGGGAGCTCAGCTGCTGTCTGCTGAAGGTAAGGGACTGGGCCGAGCAGTGGGGGATGGGGTCCTGTGGACTGGAGCACGGAAAGATCACTGCAAGTGCAGTGTGTGCTACAGGCAGACTTGTTTAATAGATCTTTGCACACAGCCTGTGGTATATATAATAGATCACATATAATAGATCTCTATACCTGTGTAACACAGGTATAGAGATCCCTGCGAAGAGCCCCCCCCGAGACTGCTTCCTTGCCGCTCTGCCATCCGAAGAATGTATGGGCGGCTGTGCGGCAGGGATGGAGAGGCTGTCCCTAGTCCCGCAGAATGTGCTGCAGGCACCGCCAGGCAGCAAATTCTGCTTTGTGAGGACCCTCTTCTCTTAGCTCCGCCCCCTGGTCACCGAGACGAGGAAGGTAAGTCTGGAGTGGTAAGGGGAAGGGGGCTGGTGGCACTCAGCATTGCTGACTTTTATTACAATGTATTGCTGGGACTTGTAGTCCTGCATAGCTGGTGGTATTCTACATTGCTGTATGATGATTATACAGCAATGCAGAATAGCACCAACTATGTAGGACTACAAGTCCCAGCAATGCATTATATTTTTAAGTAGGGATACACCAGTCCCAATACTGGGCATTTTCCCGAGGGCTTATACTCGTGAAAATGCCCTGATACTAAACACAGATACCGGTGTTCTGTCGAGAACGCCAACATAGGCAAATTTGCCGACCTCAGCATCTGTGCTTGCGCTTGATTTATTCACAAAGTATTTCATATAAATCGTTAATTGTGACCGTTAATAATATGCCATCCATCATTTACTGCCACCCATCATTTACTGCCACCCATCATTCACTGCCATGGATGGTATATTATTAACGGTCACGATTAAGCATTACAAACAAATACTTTGTAAATAAATGGCGGTTTCCTCGATAATCCCGTCTGTACGTAAAAGCAGATACTGGGTCAGCATTCTCGACAGAACACCGCACTAAATTTTTAAACTGAAGCGGCTGCCTGAGGTCCCGCACTTGCTGGGGACCTCGGCAGCCTTTCTGTTAACCATGCGGTGCCATGGCGGTGGGGTGGTTTCTTGCACCGGGGCCCTGAAGGTTCTAGTTATGCCTCTGTATATACCTGTATGTAGGTGTTACCTGTACCACAGGCAGCCATTTGTGCTGGGATCCGTTATATTTAGAGCTTGTTCACACCTAATCCAGTGCATTCCAGCAAAGTTAGGGGCCGGAACGCACTGGATCGCATACAGCAAGCCTCCCTGCGTACTGGGGTGGGAGGGTGCGTGGCAGTGCCATTCAAGTAAATGACACTGCAGACATGCCCAACCCGCCCACAGTGAGATTGTCCGCACCGGAACGTATGGTAGAGCAATGCCCAGGTTCCAGTCCAGTGAGATCACTAAAAATAGTGCATTAAATAAATGCATGCACTATTTTTTGCAATCGCACTGGACCAGCACCTGGGCATTGCTGAAGCACATCCCCCCGAGACCCCGCACAGCTCCCTAAGGCCCCGCACAGCCCCCTGATACCGCGCACAGGCATTCATAATCCACTTTTAATGTACAGCGAGGAAGAGGCGGGGCTCTAGGGGGAAAATGGGTGGGGCAAATGTAGATTAGAGGGGGGGGGGGGCGCCCGAGTTTAGTCTTGCCTAGGGCAGCACAAAACCAGAATACACCACTGGGTGTACCTAATAAAGCAGCCAGTGGGTGCATGGTCTTCATTCTCCATTCAATAATATGGAAGGTTCGTACTTCGGACTTCATTCAGAGTACAAATTCATAGGCTTGAATGGAGATTGCAGAGAGCATGTGCCAGTCTGGTAGAAAAGATTTGGGCAAATGGCTGTGCAGTACCAAGGAGGCCAAAAAGCTGGATTGGTGGCAGATGAATGCAAAACATAAAGAGGCGGGTTAAAAGAAATGTTTAACTATAATAAAAGTACAATTACACTTTATGAGAAAGCAATTATTAAGAGAAACATGAAGGCAACTACTGCTTCTGAAAAAACAAACTAGATGCCTGGCTGTCATTCTGATTTACACTGACAGCTGTGCAGATTAAAGGTGTCCATACACGAGTAGATTTTCGGTCTAATATCTTTGTTTCTGCCACGAACCGTTGTTCAATTATAGCTCAAATTCCCCACCAAGCATAGTCAAATCGATTTCGGAAATCCTCCGTTAGCCATACTAACCAACCAAATTTTTGAAGAACGGAAATAAATTTCCTTCTGCGCATGTGCTGTGTTCTTGCTAAGATTTAACGAAAACCCCACTGATTCATCGATTTTCGCTCGGTCAGAGAAACATTTTCCAACCCGACCGAATGAAAAATTTTGATCACAATTATCAAAAACGAAAATCGGTGATGTACCATCAACTGTTTGAGTCCCGTTCGTGTACAATTTCTGAACAAAAATCGTCCAATGTATGGGCCACCATTAGACTTGCTCTGACTTTCCAGATCAGAATATTAATTTTGGATCAGTGACTCAGGAAGCAGAAAAGCCACTGGCCAGCATTACAGGCAGGGAACGCACAATTTCAGAAAAATTTCAGAAAGAGGTCGGCAGTAATGGCAGCCCATTTTAAAACCCAATGCCACCTATGCAGGATCAGGTGTACTAATTGCTGCTCTAGAGCTGAGAGACATAATTTGGGCTCCAGGTGAAAATATTTTGACAGGAATGTACATAATGCTATTTCATCACAGCCAGCATTCTCTGCGGTCGGTATGTTATCAGCACCACATCTGACAGTGCAGGTGAGAACTGGGAATAAATCATAGCCCCCATAAGATACTTACACTGTTTTTTTGTCTTGTCTAAGAAGCTTGGAAGAAAATTCGCTCAGTACTTCCAGGAAGGCTAGATTTAGAGGGGGATATTCAATACCTTTGGGATTCTGGTATTTGAAAGCAAACTCTATGCCATCTCTGTTCAAAAAAAGAAGAGTAAATCCAGAAATCAATGACTATTTACAAATGATTCTCTTTAAATATGGACATCTTTGACTGCGAGACAAAATCAAAAGGATTTTGAGGAATGAATAATTCCAGGAATAATTAAATTGTATTCAATCAAATGAACAGTTAATATAACAATAAATAATAACATTTAACACATCCGAGAGAAATAATAAACACCTTATGCAACAATTTAATTAGCACAGTTCTTAGAGTTTTTATTTTTGTAAACCGCTATTTAAGCTCTCATGAAGGAGAATATAAAACAGACAATGTCACAAATCGGAACTGTTATGTCTGTCACTTACTTGTGTAATGTGGCCACAGCTTCTCTGGTCTTTATCTGATCCAGACCAAAGGTAAGTGCAAACCTACGTGCCAGCTCCTTAATACCACTAACATGAGCAGACGTCCGGTCCAGGTTGGGGCCTTGCTCCTGCACCAGCTCATTAAACAGCTGAAAGGGTAGAGAAGATATTATAATCTACTTTCATTTATAATAGACTATGAAACATCTGCAAGAGAATACGTGTCAGGAATGAATGATTAAAACACATTATGAAATTTATTTGTCATAGATAAACTATAACTCTCACTACATATACAAAAATATAACTCCTAGACAAGATGTTTATTCCCACCAAGTGCTTATTAGCCTTATAACCATTGCAAGAAGACTATTTAAAAGTGGCCTGCCCCCTCTGTGGATCCATCAGCATCCTTCCTTGAAGCGACCACCATCCTGATGCAGATCTCTGGGACATCCCACCGATAAGTGTCTAGAGGCCCTCTGCAGACCTCTGTTTTCACTCACAGGTCCCGCTCTTCACCGTTTTACTTGTGACCTTGAGTTGGCAAACACCAACTGACTGGTTTGGGTGTCCTATCAGTTCACATGCAGGGGACATTATGGGTGATGTGCTGGAATGCAGAATGTGCATCCAAAAAACACTTAGTCCGCATTGTACTCGAGAGACAATGGGGGGAATCAAAACTGGAGCAGACAAAATTTGGAGCAGATTTGCACTGCAACCAATCAGCTTCTCTGTCTCATTTTCGAATCTTACCTGAGAAAACTGATGAGATGCTGATTGGTTGCCATGGGCAACTGCTCCATATTCTGTCTCCTCCAGTTTTGATAAATTCCCCCCAATGTCTCTGTGTCTACTCTGGATGCCATTAAGCCCCTTCCATTACTCCATGTCTGAAAACTCCAAGTCCAAACCCAAGCCTGACTCATAGTCCACCCGCAAGGCTTGGAGCACAAAGTCTGTCAAGCCCTCAGACAAGTCATGTTATTTATGAGGGTGTGTGCTCACTTTCCGTAATAAGGGGACATCTGTTAGCCTTTGCTGACACTTGGACAGCCCGCATCTGATGCTTGGGTACAGGAAGTGGTTTTCAGAGGCTACAAGCTAGAGTTTCACTCCCCCTTGGTTTATCACCTTCAATCTTCCTGCATCACTACACAGATTACCAGAAACACAAGCGTATCCAATGGTTCCTCTCACAGGAGGCTATCGCCCATCAAAATGCCACAGAGCAGCCTGGTAAGCTCTCAGGCGAAGCCGTCTACTAGCAGCGAGTGGCAGGGTTTATGCGTTTCTGGGGCACGCCACCTTCGTCAGAACTTCAAAACTGCTAGAAGGGGTATATCGATGGCTGGCCTACATTTTTTTAAATTTATGTTTGCCAGTGTCCAATCCTCCTGTAGGAGGCAGTATAACACAGTTACAGTATTCTGGTGTCCCTGAATGGAAAAGGATTTAATGGCAAGTACAATAATCCTATTTTAGTCAGCGGACTCCTTTAAAAAATTGATTCGGAAGGTTAAATAATAAGATATATAATGACAAATATAATTTAAGACAACATTCAAACTTTAGCTAAATTTTTACCCGGTTCAAAGTAGTCACAAACAAAAACTTTGTACCTGCTGCAAACTGAGGATCAAGGTCTTGGCACACTGGATCTTGTCTATCTGTCGTGTTTTACTTAGTGTTTCCTTAATGATATCTCCATAGTCATTGTAATACTAGAAAGAAGAACACAAACTTCAGTTGAATTAAAAGGCTAAGCATTCTCTTATGCACATAAGCAGAACATATTCATTTCGTAAAAATACATTTGGATTTATTTTATGGTCTAGCATCTTATTTTCATAATCAATTAGTTGGCCGATTATTTTTTGATTAATCGACTAATCGGATAAAAAACAAACACTTAAGGAACAAACCAAGGCAATACACTCAGGCATCCCTGGCATATGTCACAGAAAGGAAAACATTACCAAGCATATTCACAAGCTATTGCTAGACACACTCACTCACACGCGTGCAGTGTGTAACGGGCTTCACATGCTTATTATACTTCGGACTTCACTCACCACACACAGAGTACACATGCAACACAATACACACACAGTAAACCTACAACACACAGCACACATACACGTGTACGCCCGTAAACGGCTGATCCTGGGAGTGACAGGTGCTGCGTGTAATTGCGCGTAGCAGCCTGTTCTCCCCTATGATCCATCCCGTCTCTGTCTAAGTGCGGGCACCCATAACTGCACGGATGGCACTGTACAGCCACGTCCTCCCATAGGTGAGAACAGGCTGCTGCACGCAATTACACGCAGCACCTGTCCCTCTCGGGATCGGCTGTTTACGGGCGTGCATGTCACATGGACGTGTACGCCCAGTGTGAATGAGGCCTAATACACACACAGAACACACAGCATCGATATTCAGCCTGTTCATAGTTCACTATAAGCAGCCAGGGGAGGAAGAGAGAAGGAGGCTGAGACATGGAGAGGACCCTCCCCCCATAGCTGCTCCTAGTCGGAGAGGCCGCGCCGTCACGTCCCCTCGCTGTTGACAATGCTTTTCATTATCTATTATTATCAACTTAGCCGATTAGTTGTTTGAGCCCTACTGGTGATGCCACTACTGTGCTTCTTACTGTTCTCTTTGCTGGAGAGGAAGTGGACCACCAGTCCAACAATCTCCCCGCTGTGGATCTGTTCTTTCTGCACCTCCCCTGTTTCTTATTGGTCCCTTCACTAGTGATCAGTGGGCAGCTCCAACATGAAGGCGGCAAAGCTCTGCTTCTCTAGCAATATTACAAAAAAATAACTGCAGGGAGCCTACATGGAAACCACTTTTTTGATTCAACCACCAGTTACACTGTACAGCCAAGAACATTTGCACTCTCTCCATTAGCATTGCAGAATACAGGTCAATTAAATCCCCATCCAAACCCACTTACTGGATAATGAAGCGCAAACACATTGTTAGGGCCATCCATTTCATCAAGTCAGCTTTTGTCAATTAAGGTTAAAAAAACTAAAGTAGGAATGTACAGTGGCTCTTTGTTTAGCTGCCCTGAGGTCCTGGAATAATTATCATCAGAGACAACACACTATTTTAAGGAATTTGTGTAGGTCCCTTCTGGTGATTTAGCCTTCTCTTACAAACCAAAGACACACAGGTCTGAACCCAATGTGAATGTATAAGCTTTGATGAATGTGGAAGACTAAACAGACGGTAAGCTTCTTTAAAACAGGTACCTTCATGTAGTGCTTGAAGATATCCGCTGCTGCGTGCATATCTACAATGTCATAGATGATGAGTTTACAAAACGCTGCTAGCAAATTTCTTCTTTTATGCAAGGCCTCAATTTTGTTGGCTTCATCCTCTTCATCGCCTTCTGCATGGGGAAAGTGAATATGTCAGGGTTATCACCAAGAAACACAGGGTCTGAGATGCACACAAACAACGACACTGCACTGTCAGCTCAGAACAATGTGTAATATAAGGAATTGCAGTTTTTGATACACAGCATCAAGAATTTTTATTCTAAAGAAATAAAAGATGTAAAATACATCAACCAATGTTAAATAATGAGCGAAGATTCCTAAAACATTTAAAAGCTTAACAGGTCTATGTTTCAAAGATAAGGTACATACTGTTTTAGGGCCATGTCACACTTATGCAATGTGGTTACCTCAATGCACATTATACCCATTAGCATGATGTTGTGACTGTCATTTTCAATTGCACACACCAAGGCCTCATTCACATAGTTGATTAGGGCTGTACACCGACCAAGATCAGGCTACTTCTGTGGCTGAGAAGACAGGTGAGTGTGATCAGTCACACCATAGCTGTCTGCAAAGTGAGTGCATCCACACTGCTCACCTGTGAATATATGTATATAGCCATATATGAAGCTGGTGAAGTGTGAAAACAGGAACATCCGCGGATAACTGAGGCACCTGTCATTTTTGAAGGCTTCTCGTCTACAGCTGATTGCACATGCTTGTCATTCCAGCTGCAAAAATATGCTGATCTTCCTGCTGTATGCCCATAATCAACTGTGTGAATGAGGCCTAAGACAGCGCACATGCAGTGCACCTCCCCCCCAACAAACAATAACACTACTATGTGTTTTGCTCTGTGACGGATAAAAGGGTGCAGATATTTTTTTTTTATTTTAACGCACGAGTTAGTTGAGCTGCCCTATTGCAATGCACATGCGTTAATGCAATGCTCCAGAACAGAAAGGTATGAAGGCAGACTTAAAGTACATGTAAACCCTTTTGCTTGCTAAAGGACTGTGCATCAAACAACCGTCTGTTGTTGGCTTTTGGTGCCGCTAATATACTGCAGCCTCTTCCCATCTACATGTATGCAGTCCAGTGATGGCTGCATGGCATTTCTCAGGGCAGACTTCCTGGAGAACAACAATGTACCAAAAGGGGCAAAAACAGACATAAGAATTATGGCACTACATGAGTTTTAAAGAGCTGTAAGAAGCTTTCTGATGCTTGCAACTAGCATTCCCATTACCATTAAAAATCAACACCTTCAAGACGGAGGTTACAAACTAAGCTCCTCAAAGAGGCCATTCAATGTTCGCTGAAAGGATTGTAAATGCTGTATGCGCTTGTGCTTCAGAGTAGCATTTCCAAGTTGAAACTTATGGGAGCCTGGACTAGAACTAGGATAAGGGTGAAGAGGAACTTCACCCTAACTTTAAAATAACAACAAGCACACCTTTAGAGATGTTTAATAATGACAATCTACAAACACATACTTCTAGATAATTGCCGGCTTTGTATTCTTTGCATACCTTGTTTTTCTTTTCCTCCCCATTCTCATTAAAAGAAGCTGAGAAAGTGAAAGGTCTTGTTGTTTATAGAGAAAGTGGAAGGTCTGCTCTAAGGACCATTTACACAACTGAACTTCTATGCATCTGTGAGCTATATGTGACTAGCAATGCATTTCCCATGGCATCACATTTAATCATAAAGCTATGAAGAATACGAACCTTAGATCAGCTTGTTTACATGAATGTTTCTTATTTCCATTGTGGTTTCATTTAGCCATAACAAACCAGATAAGGGGAACCACAGTTTTGTATAAAGTGAAAAGCCACTTAAACAATTGCTGACATTAGAGCGGTAATAAATGTTCAGGTCTATAAGAACACATGTACTGAGAGAAAATGGAGGCTCCCACTGGTAACAACGACTTCTGAAATGGATAAATGTCTAGAAGTAATACAGATCAGTAACTTCAATATTTCTGAGACACTAGCCTGAAACTTAGGCCTTGCTCACAACATCCTCAGTGTGTTCTGGCCCGATTGTTGCCGGCTCAGGTTGTTGTGGGGCAACCACGCCCTCCGGCTGCAATGCGATCAGCTGCACGGGAATGCAAGGCGAATCAATGCTTGCAGTCTGGTCAGAAAAAAAGCTGCAAGAACTATTGATGTGCCTTGCGTTCCCGTGCGGCCGATCGCACTGAGGCCGGAAGGGGTGGCTGCGGTCCCATTCACTTCAAGCACTGTCACAGCCCCTCCCGCCCCACAACAAACTGAGTCGGCCGCAATGTGATCCAGTGCGTTCGCCACTATTGGGCCTGAACGCACTAAGGTTGATGTGAATGAGGCATTAATATTCTTGCTAGTCCTGGGTCGATGGCAGCAAACCGTATTCACAAGTTTTCAATGTCATCATTATATCAGACACTTTCCTCCATAAATAACATGTTCTAAAATGCTGGTGAGTCCTATGCTCAGCAACCTACCCATGCTCTGGTTCTCATCATCTTGGTCGATAAAGACGTGATCCATTACAAAAGTGAGCAGTTCAGATTGTAGTCCTAGATCTGGATTGAAGATCAACAGTGAAAGGTTGTCCCTTCCACCAGATGTCAACTGATGGCTGAAGATCATTAAAAGGTCACAGAGCAGCATGAAGGCCTGGATGAGAAAAATGCTCAAATCACTTTATATTTGTATCACATCTCAAAGAATATTACAGGACAGCACTACCAGGGTAAACATGGCAACTACAACAATATAACTGAAGGGAATGTTGTGTGTGTTTATTACAAGTAATGCATCTAACTGTACCTGATAAGAAAAAAAAAAAAGTAAAAGTGTGATAGTGGGCAGCCATTGCAATAGATTTTGCATTTCATCCCTTCACACTTACCAAAAGAGTAATACCTCGTTTACAGTGTAATGAGTGAGAGGAGATGCATGGCAGCACAAGTGGACACAATCCTAAAGTATAGTCTAGTGGGAGATTATTATTGCCATTGTCATTTATCAACATAGCATTATCGCACACCTTAGTGCTTTACTTATACAATAAAACTATACAGAGCTGTGACAAAATGAAGTAAACCCTATGGAATATTGCACAGTTCTGGACGAATGTGTGTTACAATCTGATATGATCATCTAATCTACAATAGTAAAGCCAGTCTTATGAAACACACAACACTGGACATGGTCATGTCAAATAGACTGTTTAAATAGAAGAATAAAATGATACCATGAAACAAAAGTTAACCAGCCCGGTGTATTCCTTACCTGCTCTTTGACTTGCGTATTTACATTAGAAAGACACTGTTGACAGATTGCTAGAAAAGATTTTACAGTCCTTCTTAACATCAACATATCTTCCTATAAAGAAACAAAACAGACTTAGTCATATGAAAAAATGAAAGATTATATCGCAACATTGTATTACAATAATATGATTTTGTACTTGGAGCCTACTGCCTCATACAGGAGGATTGGACATTGGCAAGTAACAGCACTGAAAGCCAGCCCAGTCTATAACCCTTCTGTTTACCAACATGCCTCAGTTTTGCAGCAAAGCAGTACCAAGAGCATTTTTATGAACAGAGAGGTGGGTCTCCAAGGATTTTGCAGCAAGTATAAAAAACATTTTCTTTGTCCATTGAGGGACACAGAAGCCTTAAATTAGTAGTGAGGGTGCCGTGTCCTGTAATGTACTCCAAGAAACGCATTTTACAAGCAAGACAAAAATCTTGCCTATTTGTCTTTAGTAAATCAGCCCCATTATCCCTTGAAGGCCATGCTCCATAGGCTTCTCCTGCTGAGGAAGATGAGGGATCTTGTCCCCAGCAGAATCCTTAATGATCTTATTCATAGTAGATCTTAAGTGACAATGTCCCTCGTAGGCCATGTGAATTTATCCCCAAAGTGCCCTGTGCATATGTACCAACACCAAGCTAATGCAGGACAGAAAACAAGAAGCTTCTAACAGACCTAAAGTTCAACACCTCTACTCCAAACGATTTTTGGTCTATGTTCACACTATGTCCGGACCAAATCTGAAGCAGATGGGCTTTCAGGTGCTGTCCTGTGTGTTTGCAATGCGTTTACATGCATCCCAGACCAGAGAAAATAGTGCATGCAGCATTTTTTTACACCCACCGGAATGGACTGCACTGGTGTGAACAGAGCCCAGAAATACTATAGGAATACATTGAGATGCATTTCAGGTGCAGACAAAAACTGTTCTGGTCCGGACATGGTGTGAATTAGCCCATAGGGACCTAATCAAATTTTGGGGGAAAAAACAGAAGCTCTTCAGCACCATACAAGTGATTGGGCGGGTCTACAGCCCTCCAATCACTGGTATGTATAAGCAGGGTGGTGGCTGAAAAATACAACACCAAGCTCCTGCTTTGAACCATTTTAGTACTGGACATTTATTTACTTACATTGGTGCTGAAGTGGTTAAGATATAAACAGACTACATGCTCTTGAGCACCTTCACAAGTTACATTAATGGCAACCTGTGGCGAAACACAAATGTAAAATGAATTGTGAAACTTACTTTGGAAGGATTGCCTTCTGTGATTTTAACCAGCTGCCACAATATAGAGTAGTGAGAGCACTGGAGAGCCTGGACACCGAGCTGAAAGACCAAAAAAAGGGAATTAAGCTCCATCCAATCATATCCACTTGCAAGTACCTTATTTCAAACACAATCAACACACCTGCTCGAGCATGCCTTCATGTTCCAGACCTGCCTTCAACAGCCGATAACAATTTCCAAAAAAGTCCCATTTAGTCAGGTCGTGAGCGCTGCAATTACAAAGTGCTTTCAGTAACACAGGACATCTGCCTGCAGAACACGAGGCTCAACAAAGGTACTAAGTCATTCAACATCCTAGAAATGGCAGGATTCAAGCCCCAAGGCCTTAACAATACCACAGAAACAATGCTAGAACATGCTAGAATGATTGTTGTAGGGCTACATTCCACATTTATGTAGATGTTGGACACCCTCCATGTGTTTGAACTACTCCTGCTGGATTCATATAAATCTAAGAGCAGGTCTGAGATCTCCTTGTGATTGCCAACCACCAAAGTGGTCCCAGGCTTTTGCTACTAAATATATATACAGTATTTAGAGCTCAGTGTATTTCTAAAGAAAAGATTGTTAAAATGAACATCAGAGAAAGGACTCTTGAGCCAGTTTCACACAGACTACCAAACACACAGCAACAGCAAACTAGTAAAAAGACTCAAGAATTTAAAATGTATCACTTGATATGCATATGAAATGTATTTTTATACAAAATCCTCCAAAATGAATAACGTGTTTTAATCCATGGTGCTTTTTATAAACAAATGACTACACAATAAATGGTCTATGACAAACCTAGGATAACTATACTCACTTGTGAAAACACGTTAAACGTTTTAATGAGGCTAGGACATTATATACATCATCTTCATCGGCTTCTTCTAGCTGTGTAAAACAAAGTTAAAAGACATAAAAAGCACAGAAAAGGGGGATCTGGCACATATTCCAAAATACAAAACAAAGGCTCCTTCATTGTATTTTAATACAACATTCTGTATTGCAATTTCCTTTAAAATGATGGCACTCTAATTACATGTTAACGTTTAGACGGAGCCCATACCACTGATCGCTCAAGTCCCGATCATCTTCCTGTCAGTCACAACTACCCGCAGGGACTCCCTCCTTTCCCTCTCCTATCCTCCAGGGCTGACTGGAGGAATGGACAGGGGAAGGGGCGGGCACAGCCAACTATCAGGCAGCGTTGTGTATCCCGACAATATTGTCGGGATCCGTCCTGGTTGCAGTGCTGTCAGCATATAGCAGCCAACAGCCTGCTATATGCCGGGTTTTTGGGTCACAGGAGGACATTAGTATATGTCCTCCTGTGACCCCAAAGAGAACTATGGCAAAAAAAATGGTTGGGCCTTAGTATTCTTAATATCTATGCAGGATGTTCAAATCTCTGCTCTTTGTTGAAAAAAAAATCAAAAAAATAAAAATTATCTCCAAGGATGGGGAGCCCACTGCTTAGGGCAACAGGTTCAAGCTCGATGGAGGGGCTCGGTGATTCACCATTCCAATTGGTTGGAGCTGAAGGCAGCATCTCTGGCCTTGCGGGCCTTTCACGCATTGATCGAGGGCAGGCAGGTCAGACTCCTTATGGACAACAGGACAGCGGTGTCCTATGTCCGCAGACAGGGTGGAACCAGGAGTCGTTCCCTAGTGGCTCTATCTCAGGAGATCTTTCTGTGGGCCGAGCAGCACTTACTTGCTTGGTCCTGTGGGGTCAGAGGGGCGGAGCTGACCCATCAGTATGCTGACATGAGGATGAGCCAGGAAAAGAAAATTACGGTAAGTAGGATAACAATTTTCTGTAATAGTTCCTGCAGAAACATGCAGTATCAAGTTCCAGGAGGTCCACAGAAATGAATGGCAGCCAATAATAGCATGTTACCACTGTGCTTTTATTATATGGCAACAGAAGAAAAAGAAAATAAAGAAAAAAACCCTTAACTGATGAAACATGTCAAAGAATTGCAGCAAAAGGACAATACATCTCAGTGGTGGTCAAAAAACACCTTACTGCAGGATGTGAAGTGAACAATTTGGGCCCAATATGTAACCAGCCGTTCACTTACATTTTGTAACAGTTCCTCCACAGCATGCGAGAACCTGTCTGCCAGCTCATCAACCAGCTGACTGTGTGCTACGTCCACTCGGTTCTGAATTGTGTACTCTTCGCTGCATAGTATACTGTAGGTTTTACTACATGCTTCTAACACATCTGCCTCTGTATGTTTCTCCACCACAAACCTAATTTGTTTTAGTAAACCGTCCAGGTGCTATAGAAATGAAAAGAAAAAAAAAACAAGTGTTACTCAACAAAGTTTAAAGAGCAAAGTTGATGAATCAATCATACCTCAAAGAACACAAGGATTGCAGTTTCTAAACCTGTTAATAACTGTTAACTGAGCATACCAAAAATTATATATTTAGGACCAAAGGGAAAGGCCACTGAAATGACCCAATGTGTCCCATTTTTTCTCACTTCTTGGCTTACAGAAGGATAATCTTCCCATGGAGACAGACCACTATAAAAACCTTGGAGAGTCTAAACATTCTACACTCTACTACACATTTTAATTGCTTTCTGTATCTAACCATACCCAAGACCTTTAAAAATGGAATAGATTTCTATTTATAAAACCCTCATTGATTGCAAGTATCAGACTATGAACTAATTATCTAATTTTAAGGAAACCAATTTGGCTATTTACCCAATTCCTATCCTTAATGCTACTTCTAAAATGCTATAATTGAGGTGAACTCAATTAAACATGTTCTGACCCAGCAATTGTATCACTTTGCCTGAAAATGTAAATACAGATAAACCAAAAAAAAGGATGCGCTAAATATTTTCCAAATTGCAACCAGGAATACAAGAAATGATACAACAATTTCCCAGAGACTCTCTAGCAGAAGCTGAGCTTCTATGTGGATATGTTTTGTTGGCAGTAAACATACCTTTTCCATTCGCCCCGTACTATAAAGTTCTAGATCAAAATACTGAGGAATTTGTAAAAGATTTGCCACTTTCTCTGCATCAGCAGAATACTGCAAGATAAAAAAATAACAAAACCAGGCAAATTATAATATATATAGAAAACTTTTCTACAAAAATAAGATTCCTGCACAAAGAAACATGTTGTTCCAATGAAAATGCTGCATGCAGTATATTGCCTGAATGCAACAGAATACACATCAACTTCACTAAAGGGTTGGTTCACACACAACATTTAAACAATTCAAATCTGAACATATGCTACAAGGAAATAAACTTCTATTCTTATTTTCCGAGTAAGGCCTCTAGAATAAAGCTCCAACTATGCCGTGGAGATAATTAGGGCTTTTTCTTGTTAAAGGAGAACTATGGGGTCAGGGCTTTTCCCCATAGTTCTCCTTAGGGTAACGGGAGTATACTGAAACGCCGCAGCCGGGACGGATCCCGATATTACTGTCGAGATCCACCCAGCTGTGGGATTGACAGCTGGCTATGCCTATCTAGAGGCCCGCCCCCTCCCCCGTCCGTTCTGCCAGTCAGCGCTGGAGGATCGAATAGGGGAGGGGGAACCCTGCAGGGAGCCGTGAGTGACAGTCACGGCTCTCTGCAGGGATAGATCGAGAAGTGAGCGAGCGCCGGTATGTGTTCGCTCACTTCCCGATCTATCGAGCCGACCTGTGACAGTTTAATTGTCACAGATTGGCTAGAACTATGAGGTTGAGCGATTTTCACTCGCCTCATAATTCTCCTTTTAATTAATTCCTATATTACAGAGAAGCAGTGGGTGAGTAAATCCACCAATAAATTCAGTTTTGTGTGAAAGTAATTAACAAAACACACCAGGATACTACTACTGTATATAGGGCCTGTGAATGATGGGAAAGATTTTTTATTTTTCTTTGTCATATAACTATTAAAGATCTATGTGATTAGGAAACCTGGACAAGCAAGCTTCTGCATAAAGTGGTATGGTGGGCATCAAGAATATATAAATGATAATGCCTGACAAATGTGCTGGAAAAATGTCAAGTAACTGCCAGCAAATCTAGTCAACTGCAGCACCCGCCGACCCTGTCCAGGATGTTGTCAGTGCTCTTAAGAGACTTTGAAATTTTTCAGGGGCATTTCTTTTAAAGCTACATAGAGTTCATGGGCTTGCTTTTCTTAGTTATTTGGCTTTCATCCAAAATAAAGCTAAAATGACGAAAACCCTAAAAAGCTCTTCAACTAATCTTTGGATTAGTCAAAGTACTGCAGCGCTGAATACTGAAAAATGGCCTGGCCAGGAAGGGGGTCTAAACACCTGGTCTTGAAGTGGTTAAGGAGCCAAGATGCTATTCCATGTCATTAGAAGGAAATTACAGTGTAGGAAAGATCATCTCTTGGGATCTTTGGAAAAGAAAAAAGCTTTTGGTTAAAGAGAAACTCCTTTTAATAAGACCACACTGTCATGTAAAACATACTAAAACTCCAGATTCCGTGATTTATTATTGCTAAGAAAAAGGCTCCCTTTATGAACATTTGACCTTTATCAAGTCCCCATACAGGATGCCGGAGAACAGATGACTCCAAAGTTACACTTAAATACAAGATTATCTCCCACGGTTTTGTATAAATCTGCCCGTAAGCAGCTACTGAGCCCTTCAGCAAACTAGAGACTACAAAATCTGCAAGCGAGAACAAATGAGTGTAGACATCAACCTTGAACTGTAGGCGGTTATTAAAAGTGTAATGCCTTTGAAAATATTTCAGATGACATTTGCTCCTAGATTAATGAATGATCTTACGGGCAAATTTATACAAAACCGTGGGAGATGATCTTGTATTTAAGTGTAACTTTGGAGTCATCTGTTCTCCGGCATCCTGTATGGGGACTTGATAAAGGTCAAATGTTCATAAAGGGAGTCTTTTTCTTAGCAATAATAATCACGGAATCTGCAATTTTAGTATGTTTTACATGACAGTGTGGTCTTATTAAAAGGAGTTTCTCTTTAACCAAAAGCTGTAAAATAATAGGTTGGACTTGGACTAATGTCTTTATTCAACCTCAAATACTATGTAACTATGTAACTATCTTATGATACAGTCATAAGCGCTTTGAATAGTCATGACACCCCCACATCGTTTCCATTCCCACAGGGTTACAAAAGTGAATTTTGGATAATGAATTGGACTGACAACATAATTGTGCTTTGAGACAGGCTAATAGCGAGTATGATAGAAACCTGAACAGAGGAATGCATGGGCTGCCACTGAAAACATGAACTGTCTGACTGCCATGCTGGTGCTCTGGCTTTAATACTTTCTTAGTTACGCCAAACAAGTCTGCATGCGTCTTCCTGGTCAGTGACCAAGAGCATACTGATGCTATAGAGAGCCAAGACTTTACTAGCTGACTAGTTAACCACCTCCCGTCCGCCGAAGGTAGGAAAAATACTGGGTACTCGTCTTCAAGCGAGATAAACGTGCCATAAATAGGAAAGCCTCATTAAGGAACCAACAACATGCGATACATCTCAATCCTGTTCTGAAACTCCTTTCGCAAAGCTGCATATGCTTAATGGATTAACGTTTGTTTGTGGGCATGTCTATCTAATGGATTAAATAGAGCCATATCTCAGGTGCTGCAAAAGAACATCGAGATATACAAAGCTTGCAAACCTCAACAATCTACTGGAACTTGCTACTGCCATCTTTTTTTCCGGAAGCTACGAGCATGTCTGTGTAGATCACCCGCTTCAATAGTGCCTGTGGCATCAAGTAACTAATGCTGCTGGCAAACTCCCCTGTGAAGGCTGTTTTTTTTTTTTTTTGCATCCTTGTAAAACTGCAGTTCCACACTACAGCAAAAACCTATACCCAAGCATCTGCCATTTATCGGAGGGTTATCCACAACATCATATGAACACAGATGCCGAGATTTATTTATACCTTAGACAGCAGCATTGGAAGTGCAACAATGAAATGTTCAGTCAACTTATTCTTGTCATCTATTTGGGTTTTACGTTCCTTGGCAGTTAAGACCTGAAAAATATTTTTTTTGTTAAATTGCGGTTTAATAATTATGCAGATGAATACACAAATAAAGTAGATAACAGCTGCCTTGATGTGTGACACTGCCTTAAATAAAATGTATCCCCCCCAGAGAAACAGTAACTTTTAAACATTTATATAACAATTTTACAGACAAAGAAAGATCTGTATGCAAATATTTTTACTTTATAGTATTTTTAATGCAGAAAAACATGGAATATTGCACATGAATATATTGCGCTTTTTATTTCCAGCCAGAAGGTGGAGTTCTAGGTTCATTTTTATATGCTTACAAACCTTTTTTTTTAGCTGCTAACAGAGCACCAAAGCTCAAGATAAAACAAACACACGGGGGGGAATTTATCAAAGCTGGTTGCCATGCACAGCTGCTCCAGATTTTATATGCTCCAGTTTTGATAAAAGCTTAAGTAGTCAGATCTGTAACTCATTCCACTCCATGCCTGTTTATTTAACCCCTTCATGAGGGGAGACATACACTGTATGTCCCGCCACGAAGTGCCTATATGACTGGCTTAGTTATAATGAGTTATTTAAGGCTCTGTAATGCCGGTAACGGCTGATTCTCAGCGGTAACCAGTAATTAATGAATGTGTCAGTATTGAGGCATTCATTATTGAAATAGTTATGCTTTTGTAAAAGCTTCTTAATAATAACCAAAAATTAAAAAAGTTATCAAGCAAGCATAGTGACTGCTTGATATAAACTAACAAAAATATATATATTTTTTACAAAGTGTAAAAAAATGAGGAAAATAAAAATTATATATAAATATATTTTTTATACTATAACTGAAAAATTTCTAAAAAAAATAATCAAAACTTGTGAAAAAAGTGTTTTCGTTACGTTTTTTCCTCATTTTTTAAATATTTTATTCAAAAAAGTAAGGCGTTAGGCACACATGTTTGATATAATTATATAGCCCTATCTGTCCTCTAAAAAACAATATATAATATGTGTGGGTACATTTAGTAAGAAAGTATATTACTGACGTGGAAGAACCACACAGCAAAAATGTAAAAAGTGTCAGTCATTTATGAACAGAAACTGAAAACTAGCTCAGTCATGAAGGGGTAAAAGGAGCCCAACCTTGTCTAAGAGGAGGAGTAGTGACAGTGTAAAGAAAAAATGTGTTGTGCTACTTTAAAATTCTGTACTTCTGTGAATTTTTTAAATGTGTGCCCAGTGATAAACATTTAATTGTTAGAAATGCTATACAAATTTGTAAAACTGTCAAAGGGACACTGGTTACTGATTTTTCGGTTTATTTCTCTAAAGACAAATAAATCAATTACAGCAGGGGTGCCCATAAGGTCGATCGCGATGTCCTGTCATCTCTGGATCCCCGCTGCTCTCACCCATCTGTATGCAGCGGGGATCCCAGGAAAAGTGAAGCAACAGTCAGCGGCGGGGGACGGAGCCGCTATCACAGCAGCACGCCGAGCGGTGAGGAGAGAGAGAGCTGATTGGCTTGGATCTGACAGCTGGCAGCTCTCTCCTCACTGCACATGCTGCTGTTACAGCGGCTCCGTCCAACATCCCCCCAGGCGGCTGAAGTGCTTTTTTCTCTTCTCCTCGGATCTCCCGCTGCCTCTGCCCGGGAGAGTAGGGGAGGAGATCCAGAGGAGAAGTTGCAGCCCCCCTCTTTATGGATCCCCGCTGCTCTCACCCATCTGTATGCAGCGGGGATCCCAGGAAAAGTGAAGCAACAGTCAGCGGCGGGGGACGGAGCCGCTATCACAGCAGCACGCCGAGCGGTGAGGAGAGAGAGAGCTGATTGGCTTGGATCTGACAGCTGGCAGCTCTCTCCTCACTGCACATGCTGCTGTTACAGCGGCTCCGTCCAACATCCCCCCAGGCGGCTGAAGTGCTTTTTTCTCTTCTCCTCGGATCTCCCGCTGCCTCTGCCCGGGAGAGTAGGGGAGGAGATCCAGAGGAGAAGTTGCAGCCCCCCTCTTTACGTGGCCGAGCGGCAGAGGATCGGTACATATCAATGATATGTACCAATCCTCTGTGCAGGACAAACACTGGAGCGATAAGCTGATCACTCCAGTGTTTGTAAATAACTGAGGACACATGTGTCCCCAGTTATGAATGAACACGATGTGATTAACATCACTTCCTGTTCATTCATGAGTTTCTCAATGGGGAGAGGCTCCTCCTCCTTTTTTTTTTCTTACGTGTGCAAAAGGAGCTGGCTACTGCTATGCCCCGCGGTGCTCGTGCGGCTGCTGGTTGAATGCGTCAGACGCCACAGACGGAAAGGGGCGGGACACCTCTCCCCGTGTGCAACGCCGGCCACACGAGCAACGCGGGAGGATAGGACGCCGGCGCCTCTAGAACGCACTGGAATGCGTTCAGGGGCGTGGGGATGCACTGCAGCCATGTCCCCTGCCCACAGTTTGATCGCCCGCACATTAGTGCTTGCAGATCGCACTGGCCCGGAACGCAGGCACTAATGTGTCTGGGTTCCTGGTGCAAGCGATCGCACTGTGGGCGAGGGGCCTGGCTACGGTGCCGTTGACTTCAATGCACCGCCACATCCCCTCCCGCAGGTGTTTTTTCGTTGGTAGATCTCATTGAGCGCGTCATTTGAAAAGTAGATCTCCAGACGAAAAGTTGTGGGCGCCCTTGAATTACAGTAACCAGAGTCCTTCTGACAGTTTTACAATTTCAGCGAATATAAGCTGTTTCTCATGTCAGGATTATATTCGAATATTCATTTGTATGTAGCTATACCTCAACCTAGCATTATGGAAATGCCAACACACCAAATTCACATTTAGCACTGCTTCCATTAGTATTAAAGCATTGCTATTAGAATGAATACTCACCCTCTTACCAGTTCCTCTTCCCACAGGGGGATGTGCTTCTGCAGCCTGACGAATAGTACACACCATCAATTCAATAAGTGCAGTCTCCTGCCGCTCAGACATCACTAGATACAGAGAAAAAACAAAGTGCTTTCAAGGCATGGAGCACAACAACTCTAGCAACACTAAAACATGGCTCTGAATTGTAATTGGCAAAAAAGGCTTTCCAAAAAAAATAAGGAGCCCACACCATTAAAGAAGAACTCTGGGGGAAAACGTATTAACCCTTGCAAGTGGGGCTAACTCCACACTGCAAGCATTAACTGCTTGTTTTCGTCCTGGTGCAAAAATAAAGTAATACTCACCCGAACCGCGTAGCCAGCTGTGCCACCAATCCCTCCTGCCCGTCTCCTCTTATGCTGCAGCAAAGGTATGTCACTTGGCGTGCTCACGTCCAATACACTGTGTATTGGCCGTGATGATTTAAGGGATCTTAGACTGCTGCAGCAGAGGAGGAGCGAGCCTGGAAGCAACAGCCCAAGAGCAAGCCTGCTCTGAGGGTCAAGTGAGATTAATTTTATTTTAGCACTTAGATCAAAACGAGCAGCAGTGGAGCTACACCCGCACTGCAAGGGTTAATAGATGTTTTGCCTGGAGTTCTTTAAATTATACCATAAAAAAAATTATAAAAATATGAGAAGGCTATACTTAAATATAAATACACAGCTGTCACATACAGTGGGACACAAGTCAAAATGCGCCATCATTCAACCAACAGTACTTAGATCGGTTGCTGTGTTACCATTCTACTCTAGGGATGCCCCGATATATCGGTTGAAAATTATGCCAAAAGTGCCATTTCCTGGCCGATACAGCAGTGCATATGTTTTTTCTCTCCTCCCAGCTGGGCGCTGCTCTGTGTCCCAGGGGGGAGGAGAGAAACTGTCACAGGCGGCCGAGCGTTGCGGGAGGAAAGCGCTGTGAGTGGCCGGCGTCTCTCCTCCCACACCGCTCAGCCTCTTGTCACAGATCAGAGGAGAGCAGTGTGGGCGGAGACAAATGGAGGACATAGTACGTTGACTATATCCTCAATTATGAATGAATGGAAAGTTACCTACATCACTTCCTGTTCATTCATGATTGTGGTTATAGTAAACATACTCTGTCCTCCAGTTATGAATGAACAGGAACACTCAGTATAGAGGATTCCTGTTCATTGATAACAGGGGCTGCAGAAAAAAAAGACAGAGGACACTGTTCTCAATCTCTTTTTCTATTGTTTCTTAATCCGATCTTCTTTCCTGTCGTTTTCATCTGTCCCTCCAGCGCTGCTGTGGGTCTCCGATCCAGTGCTGACTCCTCCGTCCTTGCTGGCACTTCCTGTCCCACGGTGTCTGCATGCGGGTGCACGCGTCCATAGACTTACCTTGTGTCTCTCCTCGTCTCCCAGCCGAAAATGTGAACTGCATATGCGCCCGCCCCAAGATGCTTTGCGGCCGCCCGAGAATTTTCACATTTTCTTGCTTGCTAGTAGTAAATATATGCTAGCAATAACCCTTTAACTACCTAACTACCTCCCGGCCAGCCGCTGTGTATACACTGCCTGCCGGGAACTTCTTGGATATAACTGGGCGTGTATACGCGCCGCGTGCGAGCGGGAAATCCCCGCTATTTGAAAAGAGGCAGCGATGCCCGTTAATATACAAGCGATCCGCCGGCTATAGATCTAGTTTTTTGCGATTTTGCGAGTGCGCGCAATTTTTACGCCTGACATATTTGGTGTCTATTTACCCGACGTGACCCCGTCTTTTATATTTTACCAAAAAACTGGGTACTATTAGTTGTTTTATAACAATGTAAAAAAAAACTTTTTTTCTCAAAATTTTCAGTAATTTCTCCTGAATATAGTAAAAAATAAAACCCCAGTGGTGATTAAATACCACCAAAAGAAAGCTCTATCTGTCCCCAAAAAATGGTATAAAATTCATTTCAGTACAGCGCTGCGTGACGGAATAAATGTCAGTCAAAGTACCGCAGCGCGGATTACGGAAAATGGCCTGGCCAGGAAGGGGGTCTAAACACCTGGTCTTCAAGCAGTTAAACTGATTTGGCTGCAATGGCTTACAGCTTTTATATACACAAGTATTCATTACTTTTAAATATGCCTATAGGACTTCAGTTCACACAGTTTTATTAACTCTCACCTGATAAATTGAAGTCTAATTGTTATGGATAATTCTGTAACAGCCCAAAGCATAACTTTGCACAACGTAATTAAATAAAATCCTAAGCGTATAGACATCCTGTCTCTAGCTCTATACATTACAGCAATATATTTCCGTATTAAAGAGTGCACATTGGCTTGTTACTAGCCATATACAGATATAACAAAACACTGGCTCAAATTTCCTAAGGCTCCACTTGCTATATTCAACCCTCTGGGAGTCTAACGCATACCAGTTATGCAAGAAATATGGGGCTGGCTTTCTTCTGGAAATAGTTGCTTGGAGGCTTCAATACTTTAGAGTCACTCCTTACAAGCATGCAGTAAATACAAGTCAGAAAAATCTGAATTTCGAGCCTCTCTACTTGTATAAGGTCAGTGGATCAAAATGAGCATTCTTGTGAGGAGAGGTCAGCAATGGTAGCCTACACGGGTTTCTCATAACGACACTGGTAACACTCTATACAAGTAAATTTGCACATGCTCCAAGTCATGTGCAGCCCTCGTTTTATCTTGATTTCAGTAGGTGTGATGTGCGATAACAAGGTTCAAACAGATACACCTATATTGCCAAAAGTATTGGGACACCCTTCCAAATCATTGGATTCAGGTGTTCTAATCACCTCCATGGTCACAGGTGTATAAAATCAAGCACCTAGGCATGCAGACGCTTCTACAAACATTTGTGAAAGAATGGGTCGCTCTCAGGTGCTCAGTGAATCCAAGCGTGGTGCCGTGATAGGTTGTCACCTGTGCAATAAGTCCATCCGTGAAATTTCCCTACTACTAAATATTCCGCGGTCACCTGTTAGTGGTATTATAACAAAGTGGAAGCAACTGGGAACTACAGCAACTCAGCCACGAAGTGGTAGGCCATGTAAAATGACTGAGCAGGGTCAGCGCATGCTGAAGCGCGCAGTGTGCAGAAGTGGCCAACTGTCTGCAGTCTCAATAACTACAGACCTCCAAACTTTGTGTGGCCTTCAGATTGGCACAACAACAGTGCGTAGAGAGCTTCATGGAATGGGTTTCCATGGCCGAGCAGCTGCAGCCAAGCCTTACATCACCAAGTGCAATGCAAGGCGTCGGATGCAGTCGTTCTCTGGAGTGGCGAATCACGCTTCTCTGTCTGGCAATCCGATGAACGTGTCTGGGTTTGGCGGTTGCCAGGAGAACGGTACTTGCCAGACTGCATTGTGCCAAGTGTAAAGTTTGGTGGAGGGTTAAAGGCAGGCGTCCCAATACTTTTGGCAATATAGTGTATTTTGGGGACCTATCGCCTTATGATACTCTCATCAACATTGTTAATAAATGTAAGTTACTGGATTAATATCCTCCTATATATCAGTTCAATGACCTTAGCATTTGTACACTGGAAGTCACAAGACAACTATTACAGAGGTTGGACACTAAACATAAAATTAATTTGACTACAGGGCAATAATATGCTAAAACGACTACAATTACCAGCATGCCTTTAGCTAAACAGCCGTAAGGTTTCTACAGAACAAAGTTTAGGAAGGGTTCTATTCACTACAGTCTTAAATGTAAAATTTGGATGATCGTATTTTGTCCCTCACAGATTAAAATTATGAACTGTATCAATGTTTAACCAAACAAAAAGATTTGGTCTAGAAGTACCGACCTTCCTCCCCTTGTACTGGCTCTTCAACTAGCAGCTCTGCCATGCATTCCCAGTCTTTCAGAAGCTCTTGAGAACTTTCCCATAAACTGTCAACGAGGTATGCAGCATGTTCATGTAACTATGGGATTAAACATACACAATTCTGAGTAAAAGGAGAAATGCAGCGCTACACTTAACTCATCTAGGACTACTATACGTTTACTATATGGTCATCAGTTAACATTTTACCAGCCATATTGGCTTCATACCCAGACCATCTCCTACACACAATTATCCACAATACTACAATATCTTACCTCACTTTCAAGAAAGAAAAGCACAAGCATTTTTAGCAGATTTCCATTAGGACTGCTTCGCCCCCTTCTTTTGGCCAAGGCCTCTTCAGCTTGTGGGTCATGTCTACTAAATAACCTAGGAAAAAAAAGAACAACAAATGCTCACAGCTCAGCACACTTTAATGACATGTTTAATCGGGACCATCTTTGTATGGGTTCTAATACTCAGGTCACCGTACGTGCTTCATAAAAAACTGAAAGGCTAAACAGTTTGGCAAAAAAAAGAAACATATCAAAGTCAAGATCAGCTTGAAGTAGATTTGCATTATTCACATTTCAGAAGTTAGGCACAAATTAAGATCTAAAGACAAAAGTGAGTTCATTTGCTTATCAAACCGACGCCATTTACCTAATAAAGTCAATCTGAAAAGAAAAAAAGACAGATGATGCCTCCATATGTTGATGAACTCAAATGCCTGAACCCGCCAGGTCACCTTGCTTGGTAACAGGACTTTTGTACTAACCGTAAAATCATTTTCTTGGAGTCCGTAGAGGGATAAAGGAAGTCACATACAGTTGTGTTATACCGCCAACTAAAGAAGAATTTTGAGGGGGCCTGTTTAGACCAGGGGTCTCAAACTCATTTCACCTGGGAACCACTCGACAATTGGCCCGCGGGTCTAAGCCACTGGTTTTGACCCCTGATATTTCCCTGAAGTAGAAAAAAAGACTGAGGACACAGAGCCCTCAATCTCTTTTTTTTTGCAGCCCCAGCACTGAATGAACAGAAAGCTCTCAGTACAGAAGCTTCCTGCCTATTAACAAACCGAGGAGGCATAGTACTCTCTCCAGTTATGAATGGTCAGGAAGACTCTGTACTGAGGGCTCCTCTCCATTCATAAACTGAGCACATAGTGAGCTTACTATGTACCCACTTATGAATAAACAGGAAGTGATGTAAGCATCTACTGCTCATTTATAACTGGGGACAAAGCTTACTATGTGCTCAGTTATTTTACAAACACTGGGGTGATCACTACTACTGGGCAGGACTTAGCGTTGAAGTCAAGCTCCCAGTAATGGTGAATTAAACAAAATAGGAGTGGCACACAGAGCAAGTTTCTGACATATTAGGGTAATACACATATGCTCTTGTACAGGACTTGCAGAACTTTAAAACCAACAGTTTAACTTTAATCTACTGTTTCTTTGTGACCATTTCCTTTCCACCATGTAACCTTTCCGGATGATTTATTTTGCTGCTTCAAAACCCTGGCATATAAAAGACTACATCCAAAAAGAAACTTACTTCTTGTGCAGAAATTCCCCAGCTGCTACAGCTACCGGCCTATGTGCGGAGTACACCAAGTGGTAGACATTCTCACAGTCTTCATTGGACAGGGCCTCTTCACTACCACTGCAATAAAAGGCATATAGTTAACACATACCAGTTACTCCAGAAACACACAAAACAGATGCTATTGTACGCTTAGAGGCAGAATACATTAGATGTACACAAACATTTTAGTCTGGGAAAAAAAAGGCGGCTATATGTGGTGATAAAATGAAATGTTTAAAATTTACATTACGCAGCTGTGCTGCAATTATAACCAAGAATACCAAAATTTCACCTGAAAACAAAGTAGAATTGTCAGTCTGGCTACGTCAGAGCAATCTCTTTCACTAGGGTCACAAGGGTAAGCCACTCTCATATCCAGTAAAAATCCAATTCCTTCATGTGTCAGAAGGCTGAACAGCCGAACAGCCAAACTGTTAAACAGGCCTCCAGGCCCACATTTACCCCAATTGTTTGAATGTGTATTTACCAAGTGAACAGCTCAGATAAGCAAAGAAACTTACTAAAGGATCAGAGTAACAAGGCGAATTGCTTCGACGGCTACATCATATTCTTTGTCCAAGGTCATGGAAACAATTCGATCCTGAAATTAAAATGGGAAATATGTGCAATTTTATTTACCCAACGTTATGCATGGTGGGCAAACTGTTAGCATTCTTAGACTGGCTTGCTCCCACAAGACAAAAGCATATTGGTAGGTTAACTGTATTCCTCCAAAATTACCCCTAGTGTGTGAATGAGTACAGTAGGGACCTTAGATTGCGAGTATAAGGACACAGACTGAAGTGAATAGACACATTTACTCTATACAGTGCTGCACAATATTTTGGCACTATAAAAAACAAATGGGCAATTACAATTAAAGAACTAGATAAAAAAAACAGTAAGCACTACAATAAAATAGCAAGCCAACCAGAGCACTTCAATGAGCATGCAATGAAAGAAAATTATTGGTGAAGTTTGCCACAGGCTTGGCATGCCGAGATGATGTAACTCGTGCATGTGCGTAGGAGTTACGTCATTAGGGCCTGTCCAATCAACCCCCCCGACCTTTATTTTTCCATTACTAAATTAAACAGCCTGTAAAATACGACAGTAGATAGTGATGCAGCATTGAAGAGACTGACAGTTTTGGAAGTGTATCTCCTGTATTCCCTGTGGCATTCTTTGCTGACCTCCATGTCATTGCTGTATTCTGTATCCAGATTAACAGAATGCACCATTATTGTTCAATTTTAAATACAACCCCCAAACAAGTATCAGAGATAAAGGTTATTCTTTAAAAAGGTACCAAAACCGTGTTCTTTTAGGAAACACAAACTTTGCTGATTATGGAAATATTAAGCACAGAAATTAGCATTTGAACCTGAGTGATAATGTTTGTGGACCTACATACAGAAGTTATGTCAACAAATCTAAGTTTTCTTAATAGTTGCCAGAACGACTACAGGTATTGGTGCAGTGCTTTCTAAAGTCTGCAAGCATAATCTAGTCCAGTAGAGGGTGCTGGAGTTCACAGAAAAATAGATGGCTATGGATTGGAACTGTTACAACAACAATGCTATATAGAATATATATCGCATGAAAGCTTGCAATTGTTAAGCACTGCCATACTTGAAAGTATGGCCCGGGAAAAAGACTCAAAATTATATATATATGAATCAATAATAGAATTGTAGTCAATAATGGTTGGTCTGGATCCCCTGATCCATGCTGGGAGCCAGTGTTTTATCACTGCTCCCAGAGGGGATCGGGGGACGACAACACAGAGGCCCCAGCAGCGGGTGCCCAGCGGTGAGGAGAGCTCTCCCACACCTCAAGCCGGCTGTCGCCGCATCAACTCTGCAGCTCTCTCCTTCCCACTTGGGGCCTGCTGCGAGCTGCATTTTATGTCCCCTCCGATCCCCACTGCCTCTATCGGCAGAGGTAGTGGGGATTGGACGGAACACAAATCGATCCACCTGCCGCCGCCCAGCGGGGAGGAGAGAGCAGTGACAGAGGCAAACCAGGAGCAGGGAAGTGCGGGCAGGAGAGCTGATCAGCAAATATGGGAAATATTTGCTGATCATTCCCTGTAATATTGAAACATTGCAGTGATCACTACAATTTTTGTAAACGACTGAGGACATAGTATTGAGATACTGTGTACACAATTATGAACAGGAAGTGCTCTACATCACTTCCTGTTCAGTCATAATTTTGGACATAGTAAATAGATACTATTTCCTTGATTTATGAGTGAACAGTTAGCCTCAGAACCCCCCCCCCCTTATAAAAAAACTTACAGTGTGATTGCCCACACCACAACATACGGTATTGCATTACCGTGTGTTCCAGTGCGGTGAGATTGCAACAAAGTGTGCATGCAGTTTTATTTCAAAGTAAACTTAATCTTTGCAACGCTCCATTTCTGTATTTTCCTCTCACAAACAAGCCGCACTTTCGTGGATATTCATAGATTAAGACATTAATTATAAATTCAGGATGGTAATTTTTTGAATATAAGAATAAAAAAAGGCCAACTAATCGATTAGGAAAAAAATCGTTAGTTGCAGCCCTAAATTATTGGAAGGGTCAGTGCACATAAAAGTGGTTACCTTGAAAAGATTATTTAAAGATTTACCACTTATTGGTTATCGTTGGTGAGCTTGAGTTAGAAACGCTTACTCAGGACAAATTAGGCATAATAGATGATAATGTTGTTATATGATCCATTTGGCTGATAATGTTAAATGATCCACTTGTGTAACACCAGCACAGTTTGAAATGCACTTTAGATGAACTTGTGATTGTTCCGACAATGGCAATGCATGCACAAATCCCACACACGTCAATTTAGAATGGGCCAGTGAGTTGCTAGATTTTTACTAGGATGTGGACAAAAATAAATATCCTAAAATGAATCCTAAACACAAGTTATTCATGATACATTTATCCACGCATTCAGGGCCTTTTCATTTTAGGAAAGTAATACAAATAATTATAAATAAGGAATAACCGAAGCCGCCTTTGCATATTCTGGTCAACCAGAAAACTATGGAATGTTTGTGACGTGAAGCCATACCTTAAACCGGTTGGTGAAGAGTTCGAGCTTAGGGAACAGTTCTCTATTGGTGTACAGACTCTGAAGTGCTTTCAGACACTTAAGCCTCACTTCTCCTTGCTACACATGGGGAAAAAAACCAAACATGTAAAGCACTTAACAAAATGTTACATCAGCAAGAACCTGAAAAATATACTTTAGAATTTACATTCGACTTTGGCCTGGTTCACATGGAGACATCTGTCTCTAACTGCATGCAATGAGAGAACACCCGCACATGATGAACTGCGGCCGCTGGCTGCTTGCCATTGCTTTGAACACGCTGACCAGCTGCAGCTGTCTGGAACCGCATACGATTACTACAGCAGAAGTCTGCATATTCTTGATGTAGCAATACGCAGCCAGAGACAACATCATTTGAATGAGGCATAAATTAGAAAACACTCTTACATATGTCAACATTTCAACATAAATTTTGAAGCAAAGAGGGCATAAATAAATCTTAATTTAAAAATGTATATCAAAGTGACTTCAAATGTACTTGAAATACATGGATGTATATAGAAATTGAGGGCAAGCTCAGCCAGGGGTCAGGGTTAAACTACAAATGTTATTTTAAATCTCATGATGACTAACGCAACCCACATGTTGACTATTACGTAATCCCACACTTCTCACTGTCCCAGGACAAGCAGCAATCACCTTGGATGTACCAAAAGATAAACGGATACGTTGCTCAATCAGTTTATAACAAGGGTCCCAGTAGCACAGGTTCAAATTTGGTTTAATTTTGAACTTGTTCCTAAGTGCACCTCCCTTGTGCAGAAATAAATTGAGCAGTTTACTACTTCTCTCGTCATGTCTCCATCACTTATGAAAATCAGACAATGATCAGTACAAACTATCAAACAACTGGATCAGTAATCTTAAAGGAGAACTATGGGGTTGAGGCTTTCCCCCATCGTTCTCCTTAGGGTAACGGGAGGACACAAACTAGCGTCCTCCCGTCACCCTAGGCTCAGTATGCCACGAGCTATAGCTCGCGGTATACTGAGACGCTGCAGCGGATCCCGACAATTGTGCCGGGATCCGCCCAGCTGCGTGACTGACAGCTGGCTCTGCCTATCTAGAGGCAGAGCCAGCTGTACCCGCCCCCTCCCCCGTCAGTTCCGCCAGTCAGCGCTGGCGGATCGGAGCGGGGAATCCAGCCCCTCCCCTGTCACGGCAGAGACGTGACAGGATCGAGAAGTGAGCGAACGCCGGTATGTGTTCGCTCACCTCCCGATCTACTGAGCCGACCTGTGACAGTCTCATTGTCACAGGTCGGCTAGAACTAGGAGGTGAGTGAAAAGCACTCACCTCATAGTTCTCCTTTAAGTCTATGCATATCTCTCCCCCAAGACAAATGATCTGAGATAGTCAAAATAAAGTTCACTGGATAACCGCTAATGCTTCCCTGTGTTAAAGCCGGTAATAGGACCCTTAACCTAATATTTTGTGGCACAACCTTTAGAGGCAATCACTGAAAATAAGCAATTTTTGTGGCTCTCAATGGAGACTTCTGCACCTGCCAACAGGTAGTTTGGCCCACTCTTCTTGATCAAACTGCTCCAGCTGTCTCAGTTTTAAAGGGTCCCTTCTCTTGACCGCATGTTTCAGCTCTATTTATAGATGTTTGATAGGTTTCAGATAAGGACTCATAGAAGACCACTTCAGAATAGTCCAATGTTTTGCTCTTAGCCATGCTTTTAGCTGTGTGCTTGGGTCATCATTGTGTTTGAGGACCCATGATCTACTATATAGCTTTCTGACACTGAGCAGTACGTTTCCCTCCAGAATTCCTTA